AGATCTGCCAGCCTCTACCTTCCAAGTGCTAGAATTAAAAATGTACACCATCACACCTGATCCTAAGCTTTTCTTTAGTTCCTTTTCACAAGCTGTGAACTTAGCTGAACAGGGTCTTGCCCTGAGGTCAACACTCCCTTTATTCCATTTCTCAATCTGTTTATCTCCTTGAACACAGAATTTAGCTCTATTCAACTTTCTGGCACCCCCTTTCTTAATCTGTACATTTTGTATTTTTATTTGCCCAGCTTGCTCCTTTTATTATAAATCTTCATTAGAGTTACCACTAATAACTATACAACAGAGTCTATACTAGACTGTTTTGAGCTTTCCTCTGTCAATGGAATTAATCCAAAAGTCTTCACTTAAGTGTCAGGCAGACTCTTTGGACAAAGACAAAAAGCAGTCACGTTCTTCACCAAAATATCACAAGAATGATCTCTAAGCAACATATTAAAATTCTTCTCCTCTAAGACCTCTTGAGCTAGCCCCCCACAGTTCATCAAATCACACTCAGCACCACTGTCTTCCATGTTTCTGCTAGTATGGCCCATTAAGCAGTGCTTAAAGGCTCCAGTCTCACCTTCTAGCACTGCAAGGGATTAAAAAAAAAATGTGTTTCTCTTTTGTGAGGGCCAAAGTTACATTTTAAGTTTTATTAACTGTGCCTAAGAGATCCATGAAACAAAAATATCTCTGATCTGCAAGCCCCTTGCCCAAGGACAGCTAGTTCTGAAATGCTGGAGGCTTTTGTTTATGGGAGATAGCAAGTCAAATGTTTTCACTCCCCTAAACAAGTTTGTTTGACCCATCTGCATGGCTGTGCTTGATCACATGTGGGTGGGTGGTGCACAGTCAGGAAATACGTCAGGATGTATACTTGCCCCTGATTGGACCTGATGGGAGATGCAATGAATTATGAGTTTTCCTTCTTAAGCCATTGTAAACTATGATTTTAGGGCATTTCCTGGGAACCTGGGTATGGACCTGGCCAGAGCCCATCCCCCTGGTCAGTATTTAATTAAAGCTTGCTTCAAATCTGGCTCTAAACTATGGTGGTGGTCTTATTCTTGATCAGTGGGGTTAACGTTTTCTGGAGGCAAAACCCACCAAAATTCTAAAGCTGGCCCTTCACTCTGGAACTCCGGGGCTGAGGAGCCACTTCAGGAGGCACGCAGCTTGAAATCTTCCAAGGCTCCAAGGCTGCCTTCAGTTTGTGGACTACTGGAGTGAACTTCCATGCTGAGAAATGCAGAAGGCATGTATGGAGGCCTCCTGGTGAGTCATAGTCTGGTCCTGTTCTATGGGATTCTTATCTGGGATATGGAGGGGTTTGATGGGATCCTAATATTCTACCATCCAGGGCATATAGCAAGACAACACCTGCCCTTCTGGTTCGGGTTGGAAAGTTTTGTTTCCCTGAAAGTTTTGTTTGTCTTGTTGGAAAATTTTGTCTGTGTTCTCTGGTGTGTTCATAAGCTTTGTTGCAAGCATGAAGCTGAGACAGAAATGGGTCAGATATTTTTGCTGTTTCTGTATGCCAGTCACAGTGACCACATGGCTGCATTTATGGCTGGGGTTCAAAATTTATCTCTGAGATCTCTGGTCACTGGATTTGGGTTTGGAGGAGTTCAGATGTCTTTTGGGTGTGGATAACATTAAATTTGTTTTATGCTGCTCTTTATGGGAGAGCTGGCTCTAGAGTTGGTTTATGGCTCTCTCTGCGCTTATCCAAGCACATTTAAAAGTTCCCTCTATGTGTCACTCTGAGCAGCCTGACACAGTGATGGGGGAAAAGAAAGCAAAGCAGAACAGCCCAAAAAATAAATAAACTTCATCTAACATTAAAAGAGTTCTGATAAGCTCTTAGAGCAATGACTACTTACTATTTAAGTCACAAGCTTTTAAATTCAAATTTCCTTTGGTTGCCTTAATATAGACTTAAAGATACTTCTCATTGGGCCAACGACATCTCTGTCCAATCTATATCTAGCTCTCTGGACAGAGGAAAAATGTTCATGCTTTTTAAACCAAATTTATAGATTTTGTTAGGACTCAAAGGTATGAGTCTATTCCAGCTGTTTTATAGACACCTGTTACTTGCTTTTTATTTACTTATTTTTCTTTCTTTTTTTGTTGTTTTGTTTGTTTGTTTTTGTTTTTGAGACAGGGTTTCTCTGTGTATCTTTGGAGCCTGTCCTGGAACTCACTCTGTAGACCAGGCTGGCCTCAAACTCACAGAGCCTGCCTCTGCCTCCTGAGTGCTGGGATCAAAGGTATGCACCGCCACCACCTGGCTGCTTTTTCTACAATGTGGATTTCAGTACAGATTGGTAATGTTAATATATCTAAAACTTTTATGTCTTTTTTGTAAACCAAAAAATTCACATAAGCTTCAGAGAATTTAGTGAGTCATAAAACTTGAATCTACTTCTCACAGGTCAAAAGGACTCCAGGTAAGTACAGCTTAAGTTTTCCCATCTGTCTATTCCTAAGAATGGTATTTCTCTCTCTCCTGATCTTGAGACTCCTCCTCTTCTCCAACTACTAGGACTATGGGCCTGAAAGTTCCAAATGTAAGATTTTCCTTTAAGTTCCTAAATTTTAACTTCTGTCCTTAGTCTATATCTGTTTCAACAGACTTCCATTTGACTGACAGACATGTCCAAGAATCAGCTGTTGACTACAGCCTGTTTAAAATGACTGCAAGCCTTGGACTTGCTGAAAGCTTATGTGGACCAGTCCAGCTGATATGAATACTCCATGTCTCTTCAGCTGGGTCTCACAGAGATCCACCTGCCTCTGCCTCCCAAGTGCTGGGATTAAAGGCGTGCGCCACCACCGCCCAGCCAAACCAGATGCTTTTGATGAATGCCCCATTGCCTGAATTCCCTCCTTGCCTTTGACTAGCATTCTAACCCTCCTGGCCCTGACAACAATATCCTAGTCTCAGCAAGAAGTAATTACAGAAGAGAGTATGTCACTCCTTGTCCCCCAATAGGCTGGAATGTTAGATCAAAAGGAAACTCCCTGGCACAGGGGGCAAAATATTTACCTGTCATGCCTATTGGCATACCAGGAAAGGTACTTGTTAAAACCAAGTAGACCCAGATCTATGGAAGATTCATTAGCTGAAACAGTGCTATAGTATGATAGGGCACTCAACCTGCGCTATGTAAAACAGAGGTTATTGTACAGCTTTAGGGGGAAATAGTTGTTTCTATATAAACCACTGAAGATTCATTATAAATAATTTGGCTGTACTCAGAAAAAACTGCAAATAAGGGGGACCTGAGATGAAGTAAATAACTGGTCACCATTCTCATTTCCAGGTTCCTTCTAGATAGTAACTCTGTCAGCTATCCCAGGGTCTTCTGCTCCTGCTAATTGCTGTTGGTTCTTGCATCACTGATGCTTTAACTAAATGATAATTCCTATCTGGGTACCATGGCAACTCTTATAAAGGTTATTAGATCCCAAAACAAACAGGTACCCATCACAGAGTCAAGGATTTGACTCAAGATACAACTCAAGGGGGGCATGTGAGAGCAAATGTTACATTTTAAGTTTTAATTACAATGCCTATGAGATCTATGAAACAAAACGTCTCTGATCTGCAAGCCCCTTGCCCAGGGACAGATAGTTCTGAAATGCTGGAGGCTATTGTTTATGGGAGATAACAAGTCACATGTTTTCCCTCCCCTGAACAACTTTGTTTGACCCATCTGCACCGGATATGCTTGATCACACGTGGGCGGGAGATACATGGGCAGGAAATAAGTCAGGATGTATGCTTGCCCCTGATTGGATGTAGACTGGAGGTACATCAGGATGCATGCTTGCCCCTGATTGGTCCTGATGGGAAATTCAATGAATTATGGGTTTTCCTTCTTAAGCTGCTGCAAACTGTGAATCTAGGTCATTTCCCAGGATCTTGGGTATGGACCTGGCCAGAGCCCATCCACCTGGTCAGTATTTAATTAAAGCTTGCTTCAAATTTGGCTTTAAACTATGGTAGTAGTTTTAGTCTTAATCAGTGGGATCAATACTTTACTCAAATGCTTTTGTTGGTGTTTATTTTCTGTGTCTAGGTGTTTTGTCTGCATGTTTATCTGTATACCACACGCATGCCTGGAGCCCTCAGGGGCCCAAAGAATTTGTCAGATCTCTTGGAACTAAAGTTACAAATGGTTGTGAGCTGCCACGTGGGTGCTGGGAATTGAACCTCGGTGCTCTGGAGACCAGCCGGTTCTCTTAACTGCTGAGCCATCTCTCTGGGCTTTGTTTTCCCTTTTTTAAATGTAGCTATGACAAATTTGAAATGAGGAGCATGGCTGACATTTTTGCCTTGCCCTGTCCGAAGGAACAGTGCTGCTCAAAACTGTTACTTAATGTGTGGTCTCTGTACCAGCAGCTTCAGTAACCACCTGAGGGCTTGTAAGAAATGAAGGTCAAGGAAGGAGGGTTGTAGTTCAAGGTCAGCCTGTGCTTTAGCAAGGCCTTCTCTCAATACCCATGCATATGCAATGCAAATTGGGACTGTGAAGTGTGTGTGTGTATGTATGTGTGTGTGTGTACATATGTATGTGCGGAGGTCAGAGGTCCTCACTGAGTATCTTTCTCTATCCTTTTTGTCTTAGTTAATGTTTTATTGCTGTGAAGAGACACCATAACCACGGCAACTCTTATAAAGGAAAACGTAATTGGGCTGGCTTACAGTTCAGAGATTTAGTCCATTATCATCATGGCAGGAAGTATGGTGGCATGCAGGCAGACATGGTGCTGGAGAGGGGCTGAGAGTTCTACATCTGGATCCACAGGCAGCAGGAAGAGAGAGTGACACTGGGCCTGGCTTGAGCATCTGAAACCTCAAGAGTCACCCCCAGAGACACACTTCCGCCAACAAGGCCACACCCACTCCAACAAGCCCACGCCTCCTAATAGTGCCACTCACTCCCTATGAACCTATGGGGGCCATTTTTATTTAAACCATTAGAACTCACTGTCATATTTTCATGGGTCAGGATCTCAAGCTGAACCCGGAGCTTCGTGCTTTGGCTAGACTGACCAGAGAGCCTTGAAGACCCTGCTGCTGTCATATCTCCCCAGCACCGGAATTCCAGGAAGGTATTGCTGTGCCTGGATTATTTTTTACATGGGTGTTAGGGATTCAATCTCGGGTCTCCATGCTTTCAGAACAAACGCTTTACTGCCTGAGCCATCTACCTATAGAGGGGCCCCAAAACAGCTTGACCACACAGCTGCCATGACAGGCTTAGAGGCCCAGACACAGCTTCTGTCACAGGCTTACTGGCAGGCAGCACCCAGACCCAGGGAAAGCCATAAGCTGACCCCACCCAGGGAGGGCCTGCATCTAAGGGGAAGTACCTGACACCCCAATCATTCCAACCATTAGATAAGGTGGCCAATGTCCGTGAGTCTAGCACACACCTATTTCTGTTTTACAGATACCCCTAGACAATTGTCAGCCAATCAGGTTCCTGAACCCCGGAAATCCCCTCACCCCAACCTCTGCTATGATAAAAAAAAAAAAAACTCTACCCTGCCTCAGCTCAGGGCTCTCTGCTCTCACTGCTGCATCGGACAGACAGAGAGACCAAGCTTGGAGCTTGAAAAATAAAGGCTCTTTGCTTTTACATGCGGGATTTGGTCTCTGTGGTGGCCTTTTGCGGGGGGGGGGGGGGGGGGGGGGGGGGGGGGCGGGGGTCCCCTTGAACTGGACATAACACTGCCCAGCTCCCAAATCTGCATTTTAACCCGCTGCTAAGGGGAGCAATGCAGAAGCACTTTTGAGAAGTACCTTAGTGGAGGGCTCTGTCTGCTGACAGTACTACATTCTAACATGGCCACTGCACTGTGGCCAGCTACACAACCTGTACAGTGTTTGCAAAATGTTGTTGTCGCAACGGTTTGCTCTCTCCTTGGCTCGAACTTCCGGGGGGAGGTTGGTGTTTAATAACATTTTGCACCTTGGGTCAGGAGGTGGCCGTGGGAGAGGAGAGGGTGTGTCGTGGGAGACAGAGAAGTGTGGGGAAAAGACAACGCCCCTGTCTGTGCGCTGCAGTTAATGCTTAACTGGATGTGGGCACAGGAGCCACTGAGACTGTGCACTTTACTTCTGACCCCTGGTCTCGAAAATTATTGTTCGTGGCTTAATCACCTCTTGGAGAATTACAGGCGATGGGAAGAGATTTAGACCTTTAATACCAAAGCCCCGTGGACAAGAAGATTAGACCAGATAAAGATCTGGACTTTTCATTTGGAGCTTGTTTTTGTGTTTTGTTTTTTCCTCTCTCTCCTCTGGCTAAGTTACTCATGAAACCACAGCAGGCTATCCCACCTATAAATTAGGGATGTTGTGAAGATAGTAATGAGTAAATGACTCCAGCAGAACCTTTATCGGCTTTATTGACCTATATTTTGTCTGCCGTAAAATTCATCCATTTGAGTAGAATGTATTTGAGTAGAACTTTTCTAAAAACCAAGTTGAAAGTAATGATGCTTTCTCAGGCCCCCCCCCCCCCCCCCCCCCCCCCCCCCGCCCCTTGGCTTTTCGAGGCAGGGTTTCTCTGTGTAGCCCTAGCTGTCCTGCAACTCATCTGTAGACCAGGCTGGCCTCGAACTCAGAGATCCATCTGTCTCTGAGTGCTGGGATTGCAGGCATGCACCACCACCGCCTGGCTGCCAGTCCTCTTGTATGACCAGATAACTTGAAAAATTCGGTACTTGACTATTTTTCACTATGGTGCATTTCAGCTATAATGTGAAATGCTGTTCCTCAAAGTTCTTTCAGAGTGGAAAAATATTGGCCTAGAGAATTTTTTCATTAATGTGATGTTACTCCATATTCCCAATCTTTTACAGAGTAGGATACAGTCAGAAATTTGTTATGTTACATAAATATGAGTTTGGTAATTCTATTCATTTCAAATAACTCCTTTTATATCATCATTCACTTAACACTAGTAATGTATTTTTTTAAATAAATTAATCAGTATTTCATGTAAAGATGTCTGTCAATATTTAGAAAAAAATTACCAGATCTGAAGAGAACTAGACATAGGGATGTTTAAATGCATGTAAAAGTGGTAATTTTATAAGGAAAATAAACATACACACAGTAAAAATTAGAAATGCACACGAAGAAATACATAATAAGCATAAAGTCCTACACTTGGACATGCCCAGTGAACATTCCACATTGAAAATGAAATGTTCTGGGCTGGAGAGATGGCTCAGCGGTTAAGAGCACTAGCTACTCTTCCAGAGATACTGAGTTCAATTCCCAGCAACCACATGGTGGCTCATAACCATCTGTAATGAGATCTGGCGCCCTCTTCTGGTGTGCCGACAGAACACTCTACACATAATAAATAAATGTTTAAAAAAAGAAAGAAAATACTATTTAAAAAAAAAAGAAAATGAAATGTTTCTTAACCTTTTATCTTCTATGCGTGATTTCTTCGTAATTGAGAAGTTCACACCTAATGGATGTGAGTACTTTATTTATACATATGCATGCATTTTCCTCTTCGTTAGATAGAAATGCTTTTTTCTGACCCTCACTGTTTCTTTCAAAAAATTGTTTTTGTTTATTTGTGTGTGTGCATTCGCGCCCCCTGAAGACTCACACATGCCACGATACATGTGTAGGTCAGAGGACAGCTCTCCGGAGTCAATTCTCTCTGGACCCCTTGTGAGACAGGGATCAAACTTAGGTTGTCAGCCCCAGTGCGGACGCACTGAGCCATCTCACCTGACTCCCACACTATTTCCTTTCTTTCTTTTTTCTTTTGAGGAAGGGTCTCATCGTGGAGCTGGCCTGGGACTCAAAATGTAGACCAGGTTAGTCCTGTAGAGATCTGCGTGCTGGGATCAAAGATTTATAGTACCACACCATGCTTGGCCTCATAGTCTCTCTCTCTGGTTTTCAAGACAGGGTTTTCCTGTGTGGTTCTGGCTGTCCTGGAACTCACTGTGTAGACCAGGCTGTCTACAGGGATTTGGCACTGATCAAACATTTACACCCCCATGGATGCTGGAAGTGCTGAGAAGTTCGTAGCCTTGGACTTCTGGTTAGTTTGTCAGAAATCTGTTGTTGAACTCTCAGCCTGCACCACGGTCATCACTATTGTTCACTCCTTAATACTGCAGAGTAAGCTCGGGCAGGTCCATTGTCCAGTGCTCAGCGCCTGTCAGGTATGCAAATAGATTTTCCACACAGGTGTTTGGCAAGAGGGCCAAATGAACCTTTTGACCCAAGCATGTGATTCGTAAGAAAAAGGAAGGCAAAGCCTTTAAAAATGGTTCACAGACATAACTCTTTCACCCAGGAGAGCGACAAAACACTTAGAAATCTTAAGGGAGAACTCAACGTTTGTGATCCTGTCCATGGTGGGGAGGCTCAGAAACCAGACTAAAGAACATTGTGTTTTCATAGGTGTCTAGCACGCTGTTCCTTCTCACCCTCTCCCCTCCCAAGAACTGCTGTGAATGAAAGATTGCGTTGACTGTCTCCCTGCAGCTGATGATTTACAGACGTGGAAACAATAGGCAGACTCCTCAGATTCCCCTTTCACAGCGCTAAAGATGGGTTCGAATCATTTCCCCTCTTATTTCCCATGAATCAAGCTCAGTGAACCCTTGCTACCTGATGTTTATATGTCTGAGCTACACTTATCCTGTAGCTCCTGTGAGCTATTCTCACTCACCCCTCTGGGCTTCGTTTCCACTGAAATGGTAAGGGTATGTCTAATGACTGTGAAGGTCTGATAAGGCACAGTCGCACACAATAAAGGGTGGCCGGCTGCGTCTGTAGCTTTAATGGCTTTGTATCACACATCTGAATCAGTAGCCTTTCTATTGATTGTTGAAAAGAAAATGTATTTGCAGTTTAACAATTCTCTTAAAGTAGAACTTTAAAAATAGCTGCATGGGTCCCAGCGGTGGTGGCACACACCTTTAATCCCAGGACTCAGGAGGCAGAGGCAGGTGGATCTACCAGCCTGGTCTACGGAGCGAGTTCCAGGATAGCCAAGGCAACAGCACAAGGAACCATATCTCAGCTCCCCTCACCAGTCCCCCTCCCCCCAAAAAAGCTGATGGCTTTGAAAGAAATGTACTTGAATGGTTACATCCAGAATCAAATTTCTGTTTACTTTTCTCCCAACACTCTTTTATTTTCTCCTTCCTAACCATGCCCTACCTTTCCCTCAGTAGTGTAAACCCAACCGGTCACAGACCTCTATGCACACATGTACACACATACACAAGCATGCACACACAGACTGCATGCAGGCCTGTGTTTGCCATCTCACCTGCAGAACAGCACGCAAGATGTGTGAGCAGGGAATGTAAGGCGATGTTTTTCAAAGCTGAGGTTGTCTCTAGGGAAGAGGGGAGGCAGGTAGAAACGGTGGGAACACCACTTCCTTTGACATATGCAAATGCTCACCCGTGGCAGTCCTCAGGGCAAAGCTCGACTTCTAGGCTCTCTAATATGCCTGGAGGATGTTTCAGTTATTGATAGGAAGGAAATGGTGGCTGGCAGGAAGAACTGGGGATGAGTTCCATCTCGCTCCTGCTCCCTCGCTCTCTCTTTCTTTGGGTTTTTAAGACAGAGCCTCACTGTGTGTATATTTACATTAGCCTGTGTGTATATTTACATCAGCCTGTGTGTATATTTACATCACTAAGAATTCACAACGTGGCCTAAAGTAAGTAGCCTTGAACTCACAGGTGATTCTCTTGTGTCAGCCTCTTGAGAGCTGAGACCACACGGATGAGCTGGTATACCCAGTTGGATTCCTCTTCTCATTTTGGGTTAGTGTTTCTCTTTAGTTGGTAACAAGTTGCTCACTTTGCTTATGTGAAGCCACCACCATTGAGTGCTATTAACTAGGATTTAATGTCAGCAGTTGTGGTGGCTCTGAGTATTTTCATCACTTTTTATTTTCTGGTTTCGTTTGGTGCCAAAGCAATTCAGATCTTGCCTCCTGTTCCTGCCAGTTCTCAGATGTCACGGCATCTGTATGCATTGACTTTCCCAAACACTTAAAAACGCTCTTCTTCTAGCGTGCCTTATCCCTGGAGTGCTGAGCCCTTCTCTCGGTTAGTTATTTCTCGGCTCTCTTTGCTCTCTCTCTGTAGCTCTCCACAGCCTGTGTGATTCCCCTTATCCACACCTGGTCTTTCAGAAACTCAGCTTTGGAGTCGACAACCCAAGATTTGAACCAGGGACTTATCACACTCTTATGTAAGTCTGTAAGCTAATCATTCTGTCTGTCTGTCTGTCTATCTATCTATCTATCTATCTATCTATCTATCTATCTATCTATCTTATCTATCTGTTGGTCTGTCTATCATCTGTCTGTCTATTTCTCTGTCTATCTGTCTGATTTGTCTGTCTAATCTATCATCTATTTATCTGTCTGTCTGTCTATCATCTGTATATCTGTCTATCTCTCTATCTGTCTATCATCTCTCTGTCTATCTGTCTGATCTGTCTATCTAATCTATCTATCTATCTATCTATCTATCTATCTATCTATCTATCATCTATCTATCTATCTATCTATCTATCTATCTATCTATCTATCTATCATCTATTTTCTACTTACCTGAAATCGAATGTATATGTATACACACGTTTGTGTTTTCGCATGTCCAAATATTTATATACCTGTGCGTATACTTATGTTACTAATTTCTATGAAAATTTTCAGAACTTGGCTACTGAGTTTCCCATGAAGTAACATTTGTGCCGAGCGGAACAGTTGCTGTCTTCTTAGATGACATGTTCTTTGTCCCCACCCCTGTAACAGGGCAGCTTTGGAGGGGAGCTGTCCTTGGCGGGGTTCCATAAGGTTCTTTTTAAAAAACTTTTTTTTAGATTTACTTATCCTACTGTTTTTATGTGTATGAATATTTCGCCTGCATGTATGGATGTGTACCGCATGTGTGACTGGTGTTCATGGAGGTCAGAAGAGGCGCTGGGTCTCCGGGACTGGAGTTACACATGGTTATGAGCCACCATGTGGGTGCTGGAAATCAATCCCAGGTCCTCTATAGGAGCAGCAAGTGCTCTTAGCTGCTGAGCCAACTCTTCAGCCCCCCTTCAGTTCTTATCCTGCCTTAATCCTTTTGCTGAAGAAAAAAAAAAGCCCTACCTTGCTGGTTAAGATGTTACTAAATCTTTTCTTTGGATTTATGGAACCCAGAACATGTAATGACTTGGATAACACTGTGCTTTAGTTCTATGAGTATGTCTCTGCCCCAAATATGTGCAGAGCCCCACCCCCATTGTTCCTGCCCATTGCTTTTCTCTTCCTATAAAAACCTCTGCACCCATAAGTTCCCTACAGTGCAGCTTTGAGGCAGTAACCCCTCTGTCGTTTCAAGATTGCCTTAATAAGCCTGATTCCTTCCTTTCAATTCTTGCGTCCTGAATATTGGTCTTGGAGTGGCAGATGTCCAGGACATCTGGTAATGCGTTGACCCATGCCATTAGTTTAGTTTTCGATTACTGACTTTTCTGAGGTGTTCTGGGGGCTCTTGGAGCTTAGGTGTTCTCAGACTCCCTGCTGAACTGCAACCATCAGTTCCTAAGGAAGGGTCACCAGGCAAGGAGACAGTGGACATAGCACTGAGGAACACTGCCATGGTCTTTCCTACCAGCCTGTCGTTCATGTCCTGATCCTTCTCTCCTGCTGCACCTTTGGCTAGGACTGTCCTATGGCTGGAGAGCCAACAGACAGTGAAGTCAAACTCAGACTATAAAAGAAAACAGCTTGGAAATCCCTCCCAGCTAGGGTGGCAAGGTGACAGAGCCTGGTCAGAAAAGGTATGCTGAACAAACAATCCGCGAAGCTCTCAGTCTTCAGAGCACCAGGAACTTTGAACTTCCTTCTGTGTCAATTCTGGCTCACCTCCTTCCTTGGAAGGGCTCTCCATTCTGTCTCGTTTCTTGTTCTGGACAAAAGAACCTGGGAATCCTCACAGATGCCCACCAGACCTTCTACTGGGCACTGGACTACTCTTCCTCAGTTCTTTACGTAAGAAGTCTTTCTTCCTTCAAGGCTGGGAATCAACAGTGTGCACCACAGCCTTGGGGCTTTCCCCAGACAATCCACAGTACCAAGGTACCACCACTCTGCAGGTGCTTGTGCTTCTGTTGAACACTGACCTGTCTTTACACACCTGCCTTCTCCGGCCTGTTCCCTTTCTCTACGATAAAGTCCCATCTAAATCACCATCGGATTCCACCCCTTTCTTTTGCTCTAGGCTTCTATCCCCAAACATAGTATTGGGTGGAACTGAACTGAACTCTTCAGGAAAATTCAGTTTTCTGTTTTCATATTATCGAGAAACCAACTCGTACAGAAGCGTGCTTGTGGAAGGGCTCAGAACTGCATGAAGGGGGGAACATGCTAAACCCGCCCGACTTCCTAACTCCTTGTTTCCACAAAGCCTGGCACATCCCATGAGTTCAACACGCAGTGATTGGAGGAAGGAGGAAATGGGGTGTCCACAGCTAAGACTCTTCATCATCCCTCCTCTAAGTAAGCATGATAGGGACCCTACCACAGTGGATGCTGCACTGCCTGTGGAAGGGCATTCTCCAGATGTTCCCAGCTGTTCCCTGCAGTTGACGTAAAGATGCTGCTTTCTGTATCCAAAGACAGTTGTTCTTCCCACCTTACATGATTCTGATTTTTCAACTTTTTACAGGTGGCCTGTTCCACAAAGAGAGATGGAAAGAGATGGAAGACTTCTAGCAATGCCCCTTCTGGGCAGTTTGATTCAGAAACCAGCACCTTTAGTTTTTAAGAGACGCTTCACATGCGTCCTACTCCGACCTTTTATTCAAACGCTGTTCAGTGGGAAGAGGTTCCTACACCGGTGAATGGCAGGCCCCAAGACTGTTTCCTCCTGAAGCTCTGCATTCTTGCCTTACAGGTGAATGGTAGATAAATGAGAAGGAGGAGCACAAAGTGGGAGTGGAGAGTCTGAGAAAGAGACGGCGCCCTACTGATGCTGTTCCTGCTTTCCCACAGCTGATTCCAAAGCCACGATGGAGGTGGAGCTTCTTATTTAGTATATATCATGTGGTGGGCTAGTCTTGCCCAAGGAGGCTATTTTTCATGTCTTCAGTTTTAGGAAGACTAACCTACTAACCTATTCCCTGTTAGGGGTTAGATCAGACCCCAATCCCGCTAAATTGTTATGTTAAATTCTCAGTACTCAGAATGAGATCTTTTTAGAAACAAGGTCATGGGTGTCATTAGTTGAGATGAGGTGGTATGGAAGTAGAGTCGGCCTCTTCATCCAATGTGACTGGTGTCCTCCTAAGAAGGGACAATTTGGACATGGGACAAGTATGTCTACAGGGAAATGTTAAAAAAAACAAAACTGAGCCGGTGTGTGGCCCATACCTGTAATCCCACGGAAGGCAAGGAGACAGAGGTAGGAGGATAATCACAGGTTTGAGGCTATCCTGGGCTACATAGGAAGTTCTAGGCCAGGCAGGGATCCATACTACTGTCTTAAAAACAGACAAACAAAACCAGGGAATGAGGCTGGCTTCTAACAGAGCATCAGACTTTTTTAAGGGTGAGCAGGTTTAGGAACCAGCTTCGGAGTCTTCTGGGATGGGTGAGAGACTGGGCTCAACTGGACTCAACTGGACTCAATAACCATACGGGCTCTCGTTTTGTTGTTTTGAGGAGAAAGCCCTGCAGAAGGGACTTGTGGTGTAAGACAGCACCTGCCTCCTGCCTCCACCCTGGCTAGTCACTGAGTCACTTGGTCCCCTGTCTGTCTTTCCCTGTTTCCAGCATCACACCTGCTAAGTCAATTTAGCAAAACCTTCATATGCTCCACATCTTGTCACACTAAATATTGATCAGGTATTGATTGGGTCACTCTCTCTCATCACCCAGCCTGTCTTCAGCAAGAAACATGTTCTGCCTGCTTCCCAGAATCCTCCTACCCCCTGATGTTTCTTTAGTGATTTCCACCCTCTGCCCCCTGCCCTGGTCCTCGACTGCAGCCCCCTCTTGGTGCAGTCTGAGTTGGACCCGCTCTCTCCCACCCTCGAAGACCCCTGAAGTTTGTTGTTTTGGTTTGTTTGTTTGGTTTTTTCGAGACAGGGTTTCTCTGTGTAGCTTTGGTGCCTGTCCTGGATCTCACTTTGTAGACCAGGCTGGCCTGGAACTCACAGAGATCAGCCTGGCTCTGCCTCCCGAGTGCTGGGATTAAAGGCGTGCGCCACGGCCGCCCGGATGACCCCCTGACGTTTGGACTGTTGTATGGCTTAAACGAAATAAATCACAACGTGCCGCGTGAATATGAGCTGATATCCTTTGTGTGTTTCTCCAAGGATTTCTCTGCACACGTCTTTCCAGTCGGCCTGCTTACCTCTGAGCCCTTCCTGTTGTGTACCCACACCTCATGTGACCCTTCTGCCCAGATGACCTTGAAAAACAGGTGAATGGTTTAGCTAAAATCAGGGTCCTTAAAATCTGGCTATGTGGAACTGGTGGTCTCTGCCGTCATGGTCACCTGGGGACTTGCCAGGAAGGTAGACGCCAAGTCTGGATCCACCGGGACTCTGTGCCTGAGGTGTTGTGGGTGGGCCTAGTCACCTGTGAGACTGACCCGTGAGTTTGGCACGTGCTCAGTGTGAACCACAGACACAAAGTGGTGATCTGACTTCTCCACAGGGTGCTGTCCCCAGATGCTTCCTTTCCTGAGAAAGGGTCTCAGTTTCCAGATGTGGCTGGCTCAGCATTTACTATGTGTCTTAGTCAGGGTTTCTATAGCTGTGAAAAGACACCATGATGATGGTAACTCTTATAAGGAAAACATTTAATTGAGGTGGCAGCTTACAGTTTAGAGGTTCAGTCCACTGTCATCATGGCAGGGAGCATGGTGGTGTGCAGGCAGACATGGTGCTGGCTACATCTTGATCAGAAGGCAACAGGAAGTGATCTAAGACACCGGGAGGTATCTTGAGCACATAAGAGACCTCAAAACACACCTCCACAGTGACATATGTCCTCTAACAAGTCCATACCTACTCCAACAAAGCCATACCTCCTAATAATGCCACTCTTTTGGGGGCCATTTTCTTTCAAACCACCACATTCCACTCCCTGCCTCCCAAAGGCTTGTCGCCATTTCATAATGCAAAAATGCATTCAGTCCAACTTCAAAAGTCCCCATAGTCTATCACAGTCTCAACAATGTTTAAAAGTCCAAAGTTCAAAGTCTGTTTTGAGATTCATGCCTTCTCTTAAATGTAATCCCCTATAAAATAAAAATAAAGAAACAGAGCACATACTTCCAACATATAATGGCACAGCATATGCATTACCATTCCAAAAATGTAGGGAAGGGAGTGTACTGAGGAAATATTGGACCAAAGCAAGACCAAAAACCAGCTGTACAAACTCCAAACTCTGCATTTCCATGTCAAAACACCCTTCAGATCTCCAACTCCTTTCAGCTCTGTTGACTGTAACACACTTCTTTCTCTTGGGCTGGTTCCACACCCTGTTAGAAAATCTCAGCAGGTATTCCACAATTCCGGCATCTCCAATATCTTGGTGTCTCCAATACAATCCAGGTTTCAACTTCACAGCTTTATGCAATGGCCTCTCTAGGCCTCATTCAGGAACACCCCTGACACATGTCTGGTCTCAGTGGCTTTCTTTAGGTCTGGAAGCAAATTCCATAACCCTTTTTTGCTATCCTTAACTCTAAAGCCAGAACCACGTAGCTGAAGCTGTCAAGTTCTGCTGCTTGTTTAATTAAATCTTAACCAGCTTTCTGTCTTTCACTGCCTAAGCTTGGCTGTCCTGAAACTTGCTCTGTAGACCAGGCTGGCCTCAAACTCAGAGATCTGCCAGCCTCTGCCTTCTGAGTGCTGGGGTTAAAGGCATGCACCATCACACCTGGTTCTAAGCTTTGCTTTAATTTCTTTTCACAAGTTGGAAGTTTAGTGGGTGGGATCTTGCCCTAAGGTTACCATTCCCTGTATCTCATTTCTTTTTTTCTTTCTTTCTTTCTTTTTTTTTCAAGACAGGGTTTCTCTGTGTAGTTTTGGTGCCTGTCCTGGATCTTGCTCTGTAGCCCAGGCTGGCCTCGAACTCACAGAGATCTGCCTGGCTCTGCTTCCCGAGTGCTGGGATTAAAGGTGTACGCTACAGCAATACCCCACTTCTGGTACCAACTTCTGTCTTAGTTTCTATTGCTGTGAGAAGACACCATGACCATGGCAACTCTTATAAAAGAAAACATTTAATTGAGGTTGTGGCTTACAGTTTCAGAGGTTCAGCCCATTACAGTCATGGTGAGGAGCATGGTGGTGTGTGGGCAGACTGGCTACATCTTGATCGGAAGGCAACAGGAAATGATTGATCTAAGACACTAGGCAGTGTCTTGAGCATATATGAGACCTCAAGTCCACTTCTACAGTGACATACTTTCTTGAACAAGACCATACCTACCCCAACAAAGCCATACCTCCTAATAGTGCCACTGTCTTTGGGGTCATTTACTTTCAAACCACCATACTATGTAGCCCAGGCTGGCCTCAGACTCTGGGCAATCCTCTTTATCTCAGCCTTCTTAGTGCTGGGCTTATAGATGTGTGTTACTGTACTTGATTCTCAGACTTAAAAAAGACTAACAGCTTTTGAGGGAGTTACAGTTTATATGCCATAATGTGCATGCACCCTTTCACAATATACAGTTTGGTGTGTGTCTGTGTTTAACCCTTTATAGTTCTGAGACAGGCTCTCACTAGGTAGCCTAGGCTGGCATCAAACTCATAGCCCTCTTGCTTTCCCTCCCCAAGTGCTAGAATTTAGTGGGTTAAAAAAAATCACGTTCATAGAGTTTTCAAACACTGCCACCACCAGTTTTAGAACATGTCATCATCCCCAAAAGAAACCTTCCTCCCATCAGCCATCACTTTCTGTTCTCCATTCCCTTTGGCCCCTGGAAGCTACTGGTCTACCGTCTATCTCTGGTCTACCGTCTATCTCTGGTCTATTGTCTATCTCTGGTCTACCGTCTATCCCTGGTCTACCGTCTATCTCTGGTCTACTGTCTATCCCTGGTCTATTGTCTATCTCTGGTCTACCGTCTATCTCTGGTCTACCGTCTATCTCTGGTCTACCATCTATCTCTGGTCTACCGTCTATCTCTGGTCTATTGTCTATCTCTGGTCTACCGTCTATCTCTGGTCTACTGTCTATCTCTGGTCTATTGTCTATCCCTGGTCTACCGTCTATCTCTGGTCTACCATCTATCTCTGGTCTACCATCTATCTCTGGTCTACCGTCTATCTCTGGTCTACCATCTATCTCTGGTCTACCGTCTATCTCTGGTCTATTGTCTATCTCTGGTCTACTGTCTATCCCTGGTCTACCGTCTATCTCTGGTCTATTGTCTATCTCTGGTCTATTGTCTATCTCTGGTCTACCGTCTATCTCTGGTCTACCGTCTATCTCTGGTCTATTGTCTATCTCTGGTCTACCGTCTATCTCTGGTCTACCGTCTATCTCTGGTCTATTGTCTATCTCTGGTCTACCGTCTATCTCTGGTCTATTGTCTACCTCTGGTCTACTGTCTATCTCTGGTCTACTGTCTATCTCTGGTCTATTGTCTATCCCTGGTCTACCGTCTATCTCTGGTCTACCGTCTATCTCTGGTCTATTGTCTATCTCTGGTCTACTGTCTATCTCTGGTCTACTGTCTATCTCTGGTCTATTGTCTATCCCTGGTCTACCGTCTATCCCTGGTCTACCGTCTATCTCTGGTCTACCGTCTATCTCTGGTCTACCGTCTATCTCTGGTCTATTGTCTATCCCTGGTCTACCGTCTATCTCTGGTCTACCGTCTATCCCTGGTCTACCGTCTATCCCTGGTCTACCGTCTATCCCTGGTCTACCGTCTATCTCTGGTCTACCGTCTATCTCTGGTCTGCTGTCTATCTCTGGTCTATTGTCTATCTCTGGTCTACCGTCTATCTCTGGTCTACCGTCTATCTCTGGTCTGCTGTCTATCTCTGGTCTATTGTCTATCTCTGGTCTACCGTCTATCTCTGGTCTACCGTCTATCTCTGGTCTATTGTCTATCTCTGGTCTATTGTCTATCTCTGGTCTACTGTCTATCTCTGGTCTACCGTCTATCTCTGGTCTACCGTCTATCCCTGGTCTACCGTCTATCCCTGGTCTACCGTCTATCTCTGGTCTATTGTCTATCTCTGGTCTATTGTCTATCTCTGGTCTACCGTCTATCTCTGGTCTACTGTCTATCCCTGGTCTACCATCTATCTCTGGTCTGTTGTCTATCTCTGGTCTACCGTCTATCTCTGGTCTACCGTCTATCTCTGGTCTATTGTCTATCTCTGGTCTATTGTCTATCTCTGGTCTATCTCTGGTCTATTGTCTATCTCTGGTCTACCGTCTATCTCTGGTCTACTGTCTATCTCTGGTCTACCGTCTATCTCTGGTCTATTGTCTATCTCTGGTCTACCGTCTGTCTCTGGTCTACCGTCTATCTATGGTCTATTGTCTATCTCTGGTCTACTGTCTTTCTATGTGGCCCATTGTGTTCCGATTCTTCCAGCAGCATGATGATGTTTTCAAAGTTTGTCTATGCTAT